TACCCTCCACCCCCCCATGCCCACAGTGGCAGGACTCCCAGGTCCCTGTGAGCAGTCTGTCTGCTGGGCAGCGTTGCTGTTCTTGCTCTGCTGCCCACTGCCAGGCTAATGTCCAAGGACAGCTGTGGGGCCCACGGAGTGCTCAGCCCAGCCGAGACCTGGCCCCGGCCTCTCTCTTTAGCTGCATTGGAACCACGAGGGGATAACAGGATCAAAAGAGCAGTAACGAGCTCTGGGAACTTGTCAGACAAATGTGTTTTTAACCCAATCCTGAATGAGCCGCTGAAGGGGAGCATTAGTGCTGTCACGTGGAGCACATGATTTTGGAATTCATTAAGCCTTTGATGCAGTGTTAGCGCTGCCGTCCCCTGTCCCAGCCGTTAGCCATCTGGCTGAGAAGAGGCCAAGTTTCCTTCGCCCTGGACTGGAGGAATGGGCCTGTGTTTTCACCAGGTCACGAGATCTACAGGGCTAGAGGATGCATGCACTAGACAGGCTGATTGGGCTGGTCTTGAGGCAACGTGGCACCTCTTCTTGGAGCCCTTGGCACAAACATGCCAGTCGCTCTGTCCTGTGAAGCTTCCTCAGATAAAACAGATCCTTCCAGAGTAGCTTCTCTTCTTCTTTCTCAGAAACAGGTTACAGAAGAATTAAAACAGTAGTTACGGAGTAGTGGAACTAGAGCTGAAAGTCGTGCATTAGGAAACACCTCGATTTGGATGAAACCAAAACAGAGCTGCAATTTAAAGTTATAGGCAAATATTACAGAATGTTGTTGGCTATGGCATAGGGTCATGTTTTGCAGCACTATCTCAAATACAAAGTCCCCCCTGAAACCCAACTCTCTCTTGTTTGAGGACAGTTTGTAGATTAACTATGCTGTGGATGTAAAGACACAGAAGTGGCTCCATCCGCAGCCAAGACAGTAAACATCTTTATAGTTTGCTTCCCAGGCTAGGAAAAGCTCATCTGCTTTTTGAGAAACGCTGAATCTGTGCAATTCCATCTCAACATACTGGGGGCTGTGCTCCAAGACACCTGTGCAGAGGCCAGGGCGTGCCCTGTGCTATGGATGATCTGACCAGTGTGGTGCTGGCTTGGAGCCAGAGCAGCACCGGTGCTAATACCCCCAACTCCTGGTGCAGCTTTGCCGCTGAAGAGCACGATGTGTGCACATCAAAACAGCAGGGCAGGAAGAAAAAAAACCTAGTGGTTGGTGTGGATCTCTGGATCACAGGTGACCATGCCAGACCCAGGCTGGCTTCTGCAGCAGCAGAGCTCCCGCAGGTCCCGCCGCCTCCCGCCCGCTCCACCCCAGCAGCAACCAGGTGGGCACAGCCCCAGCTCGGCGGGCTCTTGCTGAGCAGCTGCTGTCGGTCCAGCCCACGCAGTATTTGGGTGAGATGCTGCCTTTGGCAGAGGCTCAGCAGCTGTGCCGATGCCTGCTACACCAGCCGCAGCAGGGCTCGGTTGCTGGCAGACACCTCCAAGGCACAAAAAGCAGCAGGAGAAACCCTTTGAGGTGCCCTCTCAGGTCTCCTGATGCTGTCAAGTGGTTTTTCTTCCTAATTTTCCAACATCCTAATTTGCTGAATGTTTGTGCTTGACTGGAAGCCAAGCACAGCTTTGGGGACAAAATCTGCGGTGCACCAGGGTTTCCCCCGGCTGTGAACTGCCAGGATCTGTGATGCTGAGAGCTGACCCCAGACACGGCAAGCTCCTTGCACAGGCCAAAGCTCAAGCTGAAAGCCCTCCAGCCTGGTCTGCCCTGACCAGAGCAGCTGTGAGCTTCAGAAACACTGTGCTTCCTCAGGGAACCCTGAGTGTGCTCCTGTAATCAGGAGCATCCCAAAAGCATGATGAGAGCAGGGTCAGCAACTGCCCTAAGCCTTGTTCAAGAGTGAATGTTCTGCAGAAGGGGCTAAAAAAGACTGGCCATAACTTTGCTGGTGGACTCAGGTCCGTGGTGCTGCTGTGGGCATTAATCCTACACCCTTGTGGAATTCTTCACGTCCTTCCAACTGGCACTGAAGTAGCTCAAGGTGAAACTGCTGGAATCTGGTAACCTGCCACGTAAAGCTGGCTGCAAGGCATAGAAAGTTGGCTAATAGAATGTGATTTTCCTAGTGGGTTTCCAGGAAGCTTCAAATTCTGAAGAATCAAATTAACACGCAAGAGAATAAATCAAATTTATTGGAAGAGATGACACACTCTTTGTCATATCTCAAAACTTCCCACAATTCTCTGAGGGAGAGTAACCACAACAAATTAAATGGAAAACTATCTGGGTCTGTCAGAGTGATAAGCTGAAAAACTAACACACACACACCCTCAAACCACCCCAAACCAAACAAACAAAAAAGCATTTTCACACTGGAAGCTTGCTGTAGAGTGCACAGGTGACAGAGGTGTGAAAGAACATACAAGACAGAGGTCCAGTAGAAAAGCACGAGTTTTCCACACTAGCAAGGAGCAAGGGTAAATTCCCATGCTGCATCCTTCTTTTGCAGGGAGGAATGAGGGAACCTGCTTCAAGTGAAAGCATCAGCAGGGTACGATTCAAAACCAATATATAACACAAACAGTAAATGACACAGATGGCATTTATCCAAGAGCTCTGGCAGAACCCAACACAGGTCTTTCAGCTTCTAAGGGTCATGCAACCTGTTGCTTAGTTCAGCTTGAAACCAGAGGAATGACAGCAGGAAAATGAGATGCCCCAGGTGTCACTGTTTGACTCAGGTCCGACAACAATGCTCTCGATCCCCTCTCCCTCCCACCCAGGTAGGGAAGGAGAGAGAGAAAAAGAGAGAGACTCGGCTGGATTGAAAACTAAACTACACAGCTTCAATTAAAACACTAATAAATGATACAAGAAAATATATACAATTATATACAGATATATTCAGGTATGGGCAAAATCCTCTCGCCTCCCCCCACCCCAGCAACTCCCACAGCACTTCCCTGAACTGGGAAGAGTCCCAAGGAATCTCGGAGCTGCTGCTGGAGAAAGCAGAGAGTTATGGGGGTCAGGAGAGCTCGAGCCTAAGGGTCGACGGTGATGGATGAACAGAGTCCTGCCCGGACGCCGGCCATGGACGGAAGAGAAGGGAAAAAGAAGAAGGAAGGGAGTTGTCTTCTCTGATCTCTGACCTTCCTTTGAGCTTACATAGATATATGGAATGGAATATCTCTGGCCAATTTTGCTGTCTGTCTAACTCAGCCTCCTATGGGGGGGTCACAGATCTCCCCATAGTGTCTGAGCCTGCAGAGTGCAGGTGCAGCCTTGAAGCATCAGTAGTTAGAAAAACATTCCACTGTCTTATCAGCCTAGCAGAACACACTGTTGCGAGTTAAAAGTAAGCTTACTGAAGGAAAAAAAAAAATAAGTAAAAAGAAAAATTGGCTTCATCCTGGCTCAAACCAGGACACCAGGGTTGGGATTTTGGTGGGGTTTTTTTCAGAATTTTGAGTAACTCTGGAGACCTGTGACTTGTGAATCTGAGTTCCACACAGGAATCAGGAATAGCTTCCCTGGGCACTTGAGAACTGAGATTAAAGGGGAATAAAAAAACCTACTCTAGAGGAAGGAAGTCACTTCTCATTCCTTAACGGAGTGAGGAATCGTGTTTCTTGGATGTGGTTGGATAGATGGATGTACTGGGATGGCCAAAACACTTTCAGCAAGGTCCCAGGCCTAAATGGCCTCGATCAAGATTCTCCACGACATGTTGTTTGCCATGGTTACTAACAAGGCAAAAGACAGTGAATGGAAAATGGAGAGTGTTTAAGGCAGAGGAACATAGCAGTGCTGTCCCACCAGGATCTGTGCTA